ACTTATAATTTAGGAAGTACGAATACGAAATACAGATATGACATAATACGAATATGATAATACGATAAATTTTAAATAAACATGATACGAATACGGATAAGATACGATAATAAAAAATAATAATTTATATTTTTATATATAAAAAAATTAAATTTTTGATCAAAATTTTGAAATCCTATTCCCAACACAAGTTCACTCAATGGTATTTTCCTACATCACTGCCTCAGACTTTTAGGGTAGTACATTAATTCATACAAAACAAATTAATACTATAAAGTAACAACTTATGTGTGTGGTGTGTTTGTGTGCGAAATGGGATTACCTTCCTTGAGAAGAATCAAGAAGCCAAAGAGGTAATAATAGTGAAGAAATCTACTCCTTTTGTCTAGTATAATTGTGTCTCAATTCATATTTAGTTGGTTAAAATTTATGTTTCATTTTTAAAATAAAAACTAAAAATTCTTTTGATCTATATTATTGAAAAAGTTTTTCAAAAATAAATAATTTCTTTTTTTTTTTAATATTTTGAAAACATTCTCGACTTGACAATACAAGTAAATACTGTATTTAAAACTTCTGAAAAATGAAAAAATAAAATTATAAAATCCTATTCCCACAAGACAATTAATTAGATTAGGACCAGTGTAGTACAATATATTGCTGGGGTTATATCGTAAACAATTTTCATATTTTAATGTTAATGAGAGTACAATTTCGTTATTGAACAGTCAAAGATCAGAGACTGTGTTAATGGCCTGACCAACTTTCTTGGTGCTCAGGGACTCGGAATCGTATAAATTAAAGTACTCACAGCTTTTTTCAGTTATCATGTACTAATTCACTAATTTACACACAATATTGGAAACTGGAAAATTTATTTCATTATATTGAAATTTTCAGTTTTTCTGAAACTAGAAAAGCAAAAGGTGATATATATATATATATATATATATATATATATATATATATTTGGTGGAGGGAGTTAAATTTTTTTTTGGCTTGTTGATAATTAATCTTGGCCTTATGGGACATCAATCTTGTATAGTTGATAATTTGGTCCAGATAGGCCGACCCATTCATATATAACTACGGTAAGAATGATGATGAACAATTGTTAATTTGTATTTTTATGATTAATTGCATGTTAATGTATTGTTTTCTTTATATATATATATACACACATATATACACTCACCTTTTTTCTCCCAGCTCCCTTCCATGGGGGGGGGGGAGGTGACGTTTTCCTTTCCCACGGATTTAATAAATTTGGGGTGTTTCAATAAGTTTGTTATGTGGGTGGTTTTCACGCCGCTCTTTCTTTTGTTTGCCTTGATCTACCCGTGTTTTACTTTTGTTCGGGTATATCTTCTCAGTTTTGTCTAGATCTGTTTATGTTTGACTTGTTTCAAGGTAATATACGTGGATTTGCTTCTTTTTTTTTCTCCGGTTAAATCTCTGATCTATGTCGGTTTTGTTTGTTCCCGACACGATCTGATCTTTTCTTCTCGATTTGATCTTGTGCGGGTTTTAGGTGGTCTTTCCCTAGTTGGCGACGCCTTGTAGATGTATTTTTGAAGTTGTTGCCTTAATGATGAACAGGCATTTGGGTCACTCCTGTCCTGCACCTCTCCCTTTATGGTTTTTATTGCAGAGCTTTGACTCTCTTTCTCAACAAATTTTGAGCATGTTTAACATTTTTTTTTCTTGTATTGCTTCAAGATTTGTATATCTTTTCTGGCTTGGCTTTTGCCTGTGTACTGCCACTGATGGCTTAGCCTTTGTGCCTTTGTAATGATAATAAATAAATAAATAAATAAAAATACACACGCACGATATAAAACCTTGGCCAGTGACGAACTCAAAGATTTGTATGAGTAGGCACGACTTTGACCAACAATAATGTATGGTGTGGTATCATTAAAAATTGAGTGGGAGCATATTTAAAAATTTTACCAAAAAAATAAGGATATTTTTAAGATTAATTTTCACAAAACCTATAAGTAATTTTGTAAATAAAAAGTGGGGGCAGCTGCCCCAATAGAGCCCTTCATAGGTCCATGCCTGACCATGGCAAAATATAGTAGCATTGTGTAATTTACCGTAACGAAAAGAAAAGAAAAAGTTAAAAATATTCAGAGTACATTAACTTTTTTTCACAAAATCTATAGGTAACTTTGTAAATAATAAAAAAAATATTTAGTGTGGGCAACTGCCCCCACTGAGTCCTTCATAGGTCCATGTGTGACCATGGCAAAATATAGTAGCATTGTGTAATTTACCGTAACAAAAAGAAAAGAAAAAAACTAAAAATATTTGAGTACATTAACCTTTTTCACAAAATCTATAGGTAATTTTGTAAATAAATAAAAATTTAGTGGGGACAGTTGCCCCCACTGAGCCCTTCATAGGTCCATGGCAAAATATAGTAGTATTGTGTAATTTATCGTAACGAAAAGAAAAGAAAAAGCTAAAAATATTCGAGTATACAATAAACCTTTTTCAGAGATACGTATGTGTGTGTGCATATATATATATATATATATATATATATATATATATATGTAGCGTGCTGTAAATTTTTCAACACACTTAGAATTTATTTTTAACACAATTGTTCTAGATTTCAACAGATATGCAAAGTGTATTGAAATCTACTTTTCAACATCATTATTGGTAATTTCAAAACGCACATAAATTATATTTCAACACATTTGTTCTGTATGTTAAAATTGCATTAAAATATACAACAAGTTTGTTGATATATGATTTAAATGAGCTCAAAAATACTACGGTAGGAGATTATTACTCTGCTCTGGACTCTTGGTTCACATGCATCTGTATGATTACATGTTAATGTACATACATGTAATCATATAAACATTTGAAATTATTGGAGTACATAATTAATCTTTTTTGGAATTTATTTGTATATACGTATACTTATATATATCAGTACTGTCTGGCTGTGATACAATTAAACATTGACATGATTTTGCCCATTGTTTCATTTGACATCAATTGTCCCCCATAAATGCTTTTCAAATTGGAATTGTTTAATCCATGTGTCACCTCTTGAAGAGATCAAAGCTTCACAGGAAATTTAAAGCACTTGCACTTGAATAGAGCAAGCAAGACTTTCTGTCTTTAAATGTAAAATAGCAAGAATGTTACTTGTTACTACTAATTGTCTCCATCAATAGGTGAAGAAGACAAAAGGGCTTGTCATTTTTAAGGGAAGTAGATGGTATAATTAATTTCATTTTTGTACTCTAGCTCCTCAATTTGGCGCTAGGAACCTAACCAATGTTGAATTGTTGCTGTGATGCCTGGGATATTTAATTAATGTAAAATTATAAAATCATCACATTCAAAGGTGAGGTGTCTCACATAAAAATAGAGCCGATATGGTAGGCGTCATTGCTATGTGAGACACCTGAGGTCTCGGTTGAGATAGTAGTGTTCATAATTAAATCATAGTCCATTTTGTTTAAATACACTGTTTGTGACTTGAACCCTTTATCTATCATGTACGATTTAGAGCTAAAGTTTACGTAATACATAAAAAGTTTTGTTGGATTCTCTATTCGTTCCTCTCTCCTTTTGAACAGAATTGCACTTTCCTCTTATTATTTTTGTGCTTTCCATGTGATCCTGTCAATCAAGTGAGCGCCTCATGGAACACCTAGATGTGTAAATTCATCTTAGCAATTAGTTAAAGTATGCGTTTTCATGTGACGCTTAACACAATGAAGAAATAGGAGATAACATAAGTGAACAAGAAAGATTGAATTACTAAATCCACCAAAAACACAAAATAAGAATAACAAGAACCTCTTCTTCTGAACAAGTCAAAAGCAAAGAAATATTATTCAAAATACCTCAAAAGTCTATTCTAATACATCAATAGAGGGTTAAATAAAGTTGGCATGGAACAACCCTCTAAGTCATAGGTTCACTTTCGAAGCGAGTAGCACTTTTCAAATATATATATATATATATGAAAAGAGAAAAACTTTTTGGCTATGTTCGGTTGTACGGAATTGAAACTTTAAAATTGAAATTAAAATAGGTGAAATTGGAGAAAATTTTAGTATAGTTTTCTGTAATTTTAAACCAAACTCTTTTTCAATTCCACCAATTTTAATTTGACTCTAATTTTATACAACAAAACATAGATTCATTGAATTGCAAACTCTTAGCATTATTAAGTCTTTGGTGTCACCATATACTCAAAATCAAATTTTACTAATTTCTTCTTAAATTCTAGTTTGTTGACTTAAGTATTAGAGTGGCTCTCATAGGTACCTCACCTATGCCAAGGTTTTAAGTTTTAGCAAGAACAAGTTGCTTGAAACAAGAACAAGAAGTACCTAATTGAATAGAGCTTAATTTTTGGCCTCCAAATGCTCCTTATAACTGCTACATTTGTGTGTAGCCTCATGAGGGTATGTGTTTTAACCTAAGTCACATAAAGCGGGCGTGGGAGTAAGAGTGAGAACGAATTGAGTGTGGGAGCGTGAATTTTGTTTTTTATCAGATTGACAAATAAATAAATGGACTAGAGGTGGAATGAAGTTTTCCTTGGACTGAAATGAATTGTAATGTGTCAGAATTCATGGTAAGAAAATAAGACCTCAAGGGTTAGAGATAAGATAGATAGATGTGGGTTTTCAGAGAAATGGAAAATGAGAAAATGTACTCATTAGATGTAGACTTTTAAGGTTTCTCCTGATAATTCGTAATTGGATTTGAGGAGGCCTAAAAGAAAGTAGATGGCCTAGTAGCTTTGAATGGAGGGTTGAATAAGTGACTTTTGTTGGAAACTGATCAGCAACAAGTGTGGGTCTCACAGGAAATCATGTTGGTAAAAAGAAAATTCAAAGCAAATGCTTGTGTGTGTGTGTGTGTGTCACTGTGTGTGTTGTGTGTGTGTGTGTGTGTGTGTGTGAGAGAGAGAGAGAGGGGTACAAGGTGGCCTTATATAAAGAGAGGATAGGTAGTGAGAGAGAGGTTGTCATTGTTTTTAAGGAGTAAAAATGGAAGAACAAATGAGCTCTTTGTGTGTGACTCATCTCCTTCAGCACACACTGAGAAGCTTATGCATTCATCAAAACTCTCAATGGGTTTATGCAGTCTTTTGGAGGATCTTGCCTAGAAACTACCCACCACCACAGAGATATCCAGATGGAAGAAAACAATGTGGTTTTGTAATCTATAAAAACTGCTTACATTAATTGATTACAATATATTTAATTACTAGTTTATAATTATCTTCTGTTGTCATCTTTCTTTTTTTGTGTCTCTAATAGATAGGATCAATAGCCATGGAAAAGCATATGACAGGTCAAGAGGAAACATGAGGAACTGGTATGGCATTGTGTGTGTGTGTGTGTGTGTGTGGTGATGTTACTCTCATGCTTTGCATTAAACATGATATATAGGATATTGGTATGGGAGGATGGTTTCTGCAATTTTGCAGCCACAACAGCTGCCATAAATGGCGGTGACAGTTCGGAGTCATCCGTGTATGGGAGCAGCTGTGAATCTGATCACCACCATCAAGGCCTGCAACCAGAGCTATTCTTCAAGATGTCCCATGAAATCTACAACTATGGTGAAGGGTAAGCAAGTCATGATCAGATTCAGAACCATAATTTTCTTTTTTAATTGAGATTCAATTAGGTTTGCAAAGTTGATTTGGTTTTAGCTTGCAGTTTGATCGGAAAAGTGGCTGCAGATCAGAGTCATAAATGGATATATGACAAGGAGCCAAGTGATCAAGAGATCAACTACTTGTCTTCATGGCACAACTCAACTGATTCAGTAAGCAAAATCTGTGACCACCATTTGCTTAACCAGTTTGTGATTTCATGTAATGATCACATTTTCTTATATTAAATTGTTTCTTATATATAATAGCATCCTCGGACTTGGGAAGCCCAATTCAAGTCTGGTATTAAGGTAAGACATCAGACATATATCTTATCAACTGTTTTCCGAAAAGTTCAAGTAAATACACACATGGGCGAACACCCACCCAACCTCCTGTTTCTGAATGCTGAACGAGAGATTATACCATCTGAACTAATACTTATTGGTATTTATCTACGTATTTTGCAGACTATAGCTTTGATTGCAGTAAGAGAAGGTGTTGTTCAGTTAGGAGCTATTCACAAGGTTCTATCTCTCTCACACACACACATAGTAGTTTTCATTTTTGTAACTTGATAGTACTAATATCCCATATTCTCTTCTCATTCTTGAAACACAATTAAGGTGATTGAGGACTTGAACTATGTGGTGATACTAAAAAAGAAGTTGAGCTACATTGAGAGCATCCCAGGGGTACTCTTGCCACATCCATCATCTTCTTCTTCAGAACACTCCTTCAAGATGGACGGCTATGGCTTTGGCGCGCACGAAGCGTGGCACTTCCATACCAATCTTGTCCCTCCAACGGAAGTACTAGTCCATGACCATTTCAATCAACCCGTGAGGGTAATAACTCCCTCCATGAGCAGCCTCGAGGCGCTCCTCTCCAAACTCCCTTCAGTAGTGCCACCACCACCTTCGCCGCTAACATTATCATACGGTGAGGCTCGGCCGCTACCTTTATTGTCTGAGAGGCCAATGAAAATGGCAGAGAAGGGGGTGGCCAAGGAAGAGGCCGACGATGATCATGATGCAGGCGAGAGTAGCCGTTTGATGTAGTTTTATCACCATTGTCAGAGTTTTAACCATTATCATGATCTAAACGTAATTAGCAGAAGCACCAACAATGGAGTTTAAGTTATTTATTAGTGTTGGAATTGTGTATTGATATATTATTTTTACCTTTAGTAGTCTCTAGGCCTTCCTTGCCGTGGAACCACTCTAAATCTGGATTAAAAGTGGTAAAAAAAAATTTATAACAAGCGGTGATGTTATATGCTTCTAAGACGACACAAGTTAAAATTAATGAGCATGTAATTCCGAACCATATAATAATTTTTCACCAGATGGAGCGTAATGTGATTCATCCCTAATTTAGGCCACGGGATCATTAATACTAAACATATAAGATAAAACAAAGGTGGTACACCATTCATTGCCTTTGACATATGGAATTAGTGTACATTATACTAACATAGTGCACGAGACTCCCCCAATTCCAAGGTCTGAAAAAAGTACATACATATGCATCCTTATCTTCGAATGGAGAAGCTATTTCCGGTTTCAAGGATCCTTCGAACTAGGATCGGCATATTTAATTTTGCTACGAATTAAAACTTTCGCCAGATTTTGACATGTGAAGGTTTTCCAAACCAGTAGGAAATTTTCCAAACCAGTAGGAAATTTTCCAACAAACCAAAACCATGCATGTTGCATAGAGCCCAGTGGTCTAGTTGGCTTCCAAGTTCACAACGCAAGAAATACGATAATTACTAGATCAGCAGTGCGAAAAAAAAAAAAAAAACTATGAGTGTAGTGAGTTCAAATAAATGATACATACATAAATCATAATTTCTACTAAGACTAAAAGTTTTTAAACACTCGGGTTTAAGCGGTACAAGTATCCCTCTCTTTTCAGTACCCATTGCCTCTTCACAAGGCACTCACCTAGTGAAAAGCTGCAACTTCTTCATTAAAGTGAGTGAGCAGATCGTTGATGCTCTTAACTGAATGCTCCGCCTTGTCTCTCACCCGCACGCTCACCTGTAAAGAGTCGAGGCATTTGGCAGTCAAGGGATAATCAAGACATGAACGAAGTACGAACCAAATTGCAAAATAATTTAAAATTTTCAAACCAAACTTCGCTTATTTTTCTTTCGGTTTCTTTTGTTTTTTTTTTTTCGTTTCATCGGTATTATTCATCTAAAATAAATATCATAACCGATACTGATGAAATGTAAAAAAGAGAAATAAAAAAGACATTTTACATCTATCCAGTAAACTTTCTGCATATTAATGTCGTCAAGCACCAATCAGAAATTTATAAATCAATGTCCCAGTGCAGGGACTTCTTAAGGTAAACCCAAGTTACAGAAAGCCACTGGGGTTACCAAGAAACTCGTTTCCTGCTAGTGTACTCAGACAGATGAAATACCACATGGATGGACCAAGAACATAATAAAACACACTTATTGGGTCTTTATATAATACACGTTTCGACCACGAAAATAATAAACCACACTAATTTGTATGTTCCAACTTATTGAAGAAGAGAGGTAGAACCTGTCCAGTGTTGGCTTCATCTTCACCAACAACCAATATATAGTTGTACCTCGCCAACTGAGCCTCCCGTATCTGCAGAAACCAAAAAGATCAGTCAACAGAAAGCAGCACAAAATCAAAGTAAAAGCAAAAAAGAACCAGAAAAAGCAGCAAAAGGACTGATGGTATATTCAGATTCTATAAATGCAATGAAAGAAAAATACAATTACAATGAAAAGGAACGTAAACAAACAAAATGTATAAAGACAACGAAACACACCAGCATCAAAGGTACTTTTATCTTAGAATTCGAATATCGCAATGTACATAAATTAGAAAGAACATGATAGGACATTGTCATAAATGAGGATTAAGCAATCTACTAGTGCAAACACCCCACGTTTGGGGAATGAGTTCAAATATCATCCACTTATTGGAGATCTGCTAGCAGATAGAAGCCCAGGGGTATTGGGATACATCAGTGGGTGGCAATTTATACCCAAATCCATTATACCGCCCAAACCCGCCCATTACAATTAAATCATTTGGGTACCCAATTTAAATGAATGGGTAAAAAATGGGTACCCATTATAATTAATGGGTGAATAATGGGTACCCAACTTAACCACTCAACAAAATCCTAAGACTGAGACCTGCTAGTCAACCCCCACCCTCTCTCTTTCTGTCTCTCTCTCTCTCTCTCTCTCTCTCTCTCTCTCTCTCTCTATATATATATATATATATATATATATATATATATGAATGTATCAGTTTGGTTGCAAAGAAAAATTCTAACAGACATATAAACATATATATATATATATATATAGAGAGAGAGAGAGAGAGAGAAAAAAAATCCATCAAGAGTTCAAATTCTCCTCACTCTCTCTCACACTCTCTCTCTATATTGGTATCTGATTATTCATATTTGGGTTCTCTGTTGAAGCTCCATCTGATTATTTCATATTGTATAATTGGATTATATGCATTTCTATCACTGTTTTAATATGCAAGCATTGGATTTTTCTCTTGTGTTCGACTAAAGTCCCCAGCAGAAGCATAATTCACTCTGACCCTCTTGAGTAAATGATAAATGAGTCCTATGTGTGAAGTTTGAGATTTGTTGATGGCAAGAACAGTGGCATGATTGTTTATTTCTTGATGGGTTTTTTCTCTCTCTCTATATATACATGTTTATACTGCTGTTGGAATTTTTCTCAGCAACCAAACTGATACATTCATATATACAGAGAGAGAGAGAGAGAGTTGGTCTTACCATCGATTGAATACATCCAAAAAAATCTCAATCGAAGAACTGCCTCTGCTAGAAGTTTCTTGAACAGCCTACGAAACCAATCGATGCACTAGAGGGAGCTAGGGTTTGTTAATTTTGGGGGTGAACGAAGAGAGAGAGAGAGAAAGAGAGAGGGGGTGGGGGTTGACGAGCAGGTCTTAGTCTTAGGATTTTGTTGGGTGGATTAAGTTGGGTACCCATCTTAACCCATTATTCACCCATTAATTATAATGGGTACCCATTTTTTACCCATTAATTACCCATCCATTTAAATTGGGTACCCAAATGATTTAATTGTAATGGGCGAGTTTGGGCGGTTTAAACTTTAATGGGTTTGGGTATAAATTGCCACCCCTATTTCATATTGTATAATTGGATTATATGCATATCTATCTCTGTTTTAATATGCAAGCATTGGTTCGACTAAAGTCCCGAGCAGAAGCATAATTCACTCTGACCCTCTTGAGTAAATGACACGAGTCCTATGTGGGAAGTTTGAGATTTGTTGATGGCAAGAACAGTGGCATGATTGTTTATTTGAAATTTGCTGAAGGAATGCTGAATTTGGGTATTAAGATGGATTTGACCCGTCCATTTGAGCCCTGACCCATTCATGACCCACCATTGGTGGGTTGATAATGGGTTATTAGCCCATTCATGACCAGCCCATTCCATACCCGCCCAAACCCACCCAATTGCCACCCCTATACATCACACACAATTATGATCAACTGGGTTGAAGGGGAAATGACTTGGAATTTGATTCAGAAGAAGATAGTTACAACATTGCAAAAAGGGAGATCGATGACCCAAAAAGGGGTGGAGTAATTATGGTTTTGGACTTGGCCAAAAAGAAAAGGAAAATGTTGTTGGGCTTTGACATTCATTAGAGGAAGGCTTGGGCTCTGATGTGGGTTACGCTCTGCATTTAATATTCAAAATATCCGAGTAATTTGATAAAATAAATTATTTGCACCCTTGGCATTGTAATATCTCAAATATACATTTATATATACATAATTCAATAGTGAGGAAATAAAGAATAAGATCTTTACCAACAGGCGAGTTGCCCAATGGTACCAAACCCTTACTTCTCAAAGAGAGGTTAGGAGTTCAAGCTTCCATGGAAGCATGGGTGTGTGAGTACCAACTAAGAAAAAAAATAAAATAATAATAATAATATCTTTTATGTCTGCTGTCAGTGGCACTATATGAAATGCCCTAAAGATCCACCATGAGAAACTGTTGAAGGCACAAGACTCAAGGGCACATGATTACGCCACAGGCACTCCATTTAATGTTATAAGAATGAAACTTCTTTTAACATAAGATCACCAAAGCATTAAAACAGTTCGCAGAACGGAAATTTGAGTTCCAGAAAGGAAAAAATATATATATACCTTTTTCTGGATTGTTCTATCACTTGAATCGACATCAACATAATAACCAGCTTGATGAATCTTATCCCGCACCTACCAGAATTTAGCAATAGTAAATATCGTTATCCATCATCTTCTTGGTTAGGCGGGTTAGGCAGATATGAAGGAGTAAAGAACAGTTATTGATAAATTCATCAGATCATTGTGCAATTTATACATTAATTTCCCCCTTTCACCTTCAAAGGAAATAAAACAACTCAGGAAAACAATCTGGTTTCAACTACCAAAATTCCGTTTCAAAATATCTGAGTAATTAGAGAGCAATTGTCACATTACTGCACAATCAGGTTATAACTTCCAAAACCAAAATCCTAAAACTGCTTTTTATGACTATCAAATTCACAAGTGTTTGTTTTACAGAGAACCAATGCACAAGTGCCCTCAGTATGGTAATGCATCAAAGTGTGGCAATCGCCTATATGAAAAAATTAATAAATTAAAGGTTACTTGTTGCTTTAGAAAACAGCATTTTTGACAAACTCAATTATTTGCAATGATTCCAGGTTAATCAAAAAGGGCAAGCAGCAGTTTGTGGATTCGATTCTGTAGTACAGAAAGTCACAAAGCAGACAAAGCAAAATGAATGCTACACCGATAACACTTCACAATTATTAGAACCAGGTAACACTCCAACAGATGGAAGCATAAGAATTAGCAGATTGTAGTCCACAATGACACAAATCAGTGAACAATACCATCCATATGCATCAGATTGTCGATACCAGATAGTAAACCGTGTTAAATTAAATCAGACCATGATAGAGATCCGTGAATAAATCAAGCACATAGAGCTAAAAACCTGTAGCGCATATGGCTGGGATTTCTCTGACACGGAGCAAACAATTGCTTGACGTGGACTGAGCCAGAAGGGCCATTTCCCTTTATAGTGCTCCAAAAGTATAGCAAACATACGCTCAAC